GGGTGGAGGGGGGCTGCTATAGTAACGAACGGAACTTTAACACGCATCTGATTGATTGTGATGCCGTGCTGACATGCTTGTGCACGAATCACGGTCTTACAATTCTTATGAGCATGTGCGTACATGCTCATAAGAATTGTAAGATCTACTGTAAGATCTACATAATAATAATAATAATAAAGCAATTAAATAAGTAAATAAGAATGCTAAAATAAGTTCTAGGTTTGTAGTTATATATGAAGAGTTCAGATGCAAAAGCCTCTAAGTGCCATTTAAAATTTTCTTCTAAAATGGTTAGGTTTACTTTAATGGGAAAGAAAGGAAACTATTCATTGCCATTAAAATGTGCACATTCACTCTTATTCGTAGTCGAAAACGCAAACGTCTCTTGTCACGTTCATTTATGATTTACATGAATCATGATCGCATATTTTAAATTAAAGATGGTGAAATTTAATAAAAAGTTGAGTAGTTTGCATCACTAGATAGTCTATTACTGTCGGCCGCTGAACATTTCTATCTTAAAACATTTTTCTAATACAGTACTACTTACGTCTTTCCACGAACTCTCGTTGCATTGTGACAGTGACAGTAAGACCCACCTTCTTTGATTTGATTGGCCATCTCGATCATTTTGACAGTGACGAGCGCTGTTGGACCACTGAGGCAGACCAGCCTAAAAGTTCAACTTTTAAAACTTTTTGTCATTCTAACAACAAACAGCTTTACTCATTCTTATACACAGAGTCTTATACTGTCTATCAGCTATGACTATTTTAGTCTTTCAAAGACAAAATGGGTGGAAAAACAGTAATAAAAATGAGACATAAACATAAAATGCAAGCCAGGAGCGAGGCCCTCTAGAGGCGCGAGGCCCTGTGCATCACACACTTGGCACAGCCCTTGTGACGGTACTGCCTACCCAGTTCTTAAAGTGGTCCTATTATGCACTTTTACAATGTCTTGAATTTGTTTTGGGGGTGTACTAGAACATGCTCTCATGCTTGATGGTTCGAAAAACGCATAATTATTACAATACCTTTCTCCCCAGTCTGGCACAAACGGCTCGATTAGTTCCAGGTTTGATGAACGCCCGCCTTCCAAAAAATGAAATGTGATGTGATTGGTTAGCTGTCCCAGTGCGTTGTGATTGGCGAACAGCTTCAGTACTGCCCCTTGCAAAAGCAGCAAGTTTAGTTAAGGATGGCGTCAATACTGCCATATCAATTTGAGCCGGATTCAGACCCAGAGAATATTGAACAAGAGGATCGCACAGAACCTTTGCACGCACGGATATTGCAAGACATATTAGAGTGGTAACGTTGTTTTGTTTTTTTTTGGCCTAAATCACATTTTAGACAGGATGTCAACAACCGCTTAAAAATAACTGCATTTACTATGTACAGGTAAGTGCATGTGTCTTATTTTTGTTGTTATTTAATTCTAACATTATAACATTAATTGCAGTGAAACTGTTATACAGTTGAATTTATTTATACCATAATTCAGTGTTTCCCAGGCAGCATATATTTGCAAACTCATTCTCTGCCAGCAGGAGGCGCTGTTGAAGTGGTAGAGATCAAGGTTTCCCCGGTAACGGCTGTACACAAAGCAGCGCTACGCTAAAAAAAAAACTGCTTTATCAGACATTACATGCAAGAGCACGGATATTGCAAGACATATTAGAGTGGTAACGTTATTGTTGTTTTATTGTTTTTTGTTGGCTAAATCACGTTTTAGATAGGATGTCAACAACCGCTTAAAAATAACTGCATTTACTATGTACAGGTAAGTGCATGTGTCTTATTTTTGTTGTTATTTAATTCTAACATTATAACATTAATTGCAGTGAAACTGTTATACAGTTGAATTTATTTATACCATAATTCAGTGTTTCCCAGGCAGCATATATTTGCAAACTCATTCTCTGCCAGCAGGAGGCGCTGTTGAAGTGGTAGAGATCAAGGTTTCCCCGGTAACGGCTGTACACAAAGCAGCGCAGGCACTATTGGAGTGGAAGAGATCAAGGTTTCCCCGGTAATGCTGTAGACAAAGCAGCGCTCCTCTAAAAAAAAAACACTGCTTTATCAGACATTACATGCAAGATTAAATGAAAATGGCATCCAATTTTCTGAAGACAGTCGGTTTCCTTCAGAAATACAGTGATATAAAAACACACGCACTCAATGTATGGGAAACACTGTAGTCTCATAATTTAAGTGTAAATTCTGCAGATTACATCATTGTCCAGTATTGTACTGTCAGCAATTTATTATAAAAACGTTTTCATAATTGTAACATACATATTTACATAATTATTCAGGTGCATGTGTAATAACTTGCAAAAACTTGAGGCT